AAAACTAAATTAAATTAGATAAAAATGGAACTATGCAAATTTACAAATTTGAGGTGTGAAATATGTAAATTTTAAAACAAACTTACTAAAATAATATAACTTCTAAATATGAAGGGCCAAAGTGTAACTTTAAAAATGAATTATTTGAAAAATAACACACGATATCCAAGGTAACCGTATCGAACTCCTAATGTATGGGAAATAGGCATAATTCCTTGGCAAGTTAACTACAAATTGTTTTTAAATAACTAACACCAAAATATCTTTTATTTCTAAATGAAAAAAAAAAAGTTTGAGGGTGGGGCTAGGCCTACCCTGGTCCTTTGGTGGCTCCGCCCATGTATATAGAGATAAAAGATGTTGTTATTTAAATTTAAAATTTAATTTAATTTTTATTTTATTTTTGTAAACTCCAAACGGTCAAAAAAGAGCCGTTTACACACACACACTCTCTCTCTCGCTTTCATTCGTCGTCTTCGTCCGTGGTATACACTACGACACAAGGCACCTACGCGCACCTGAGGCGGTGTTCACGCGTAGGTGACCTTGCCACGTAGGCCCCACGCGTAGCCACCAAAACTCCATACCGCAAAGCCTTACAGGTTGAAATATATACTTAATTATTTACAACTTCATTAAATTGTTTTGATCTAATTTTTGTAATCATGTTTATTATGAGTTAAGAAATTCGAACACAAATTAACAAAAAGTGCTGACAGTTTTGGGAGACTCTTTTGTAAACGGTTTTAGGAATGTTGGTAATATTTTTATGAGAATTTTAAAGATAAATATAGTATTTGTTAAATAAAGTTTAATGAATATATCATTTGATAATTGGGTTCGACTCTTTGAAGATTCACTGCAATTCTTGGAGGGTTCTTCAAACATTGATATTTGATAATTGTTATTCTCAGTTGCCTATTCAAAGTTCATAACCATTTATGGGAAATTGCTCAAAGTACATTGGTTTTCTCGGTTATCTGAACTTCTGGCAGGTGCCTCAAAGTACCATTAACCCAAAAGAAACAATTCTAACTCAAAATTTTACATTTCTCGCTCTACAGCCTTTGTTCACATTAATTTTTTTTCCTCATTAAACAGCTTGATTGAATAATCAGTAAGCCACCACCCTCTCACAATCTCTTGTTTTTGCTACTTCCCATCAAGGAACTCAACTCACCAGTCACTGATCTCATGAGCCCACATCCACCATTTTCTTGATGAAGGAAGCAAAGCAAAGCAATGCAGAAGATTCAGACATGGCCCATTAGATGTGAATCCTTTTTAGAAGAAGAAGAAGAAGCTTGTGATTGTGGCCATAAAGGTGAAAGAGCAACAACTCTTCCAATAAAGATCAGAGTTGGTGACACAAGTTGTTCTGATGCAATTTTATCACCAAGATCCTTTAGCTCTGCCAATAGCTACATAATTTTACAACAAATTAGGAACAAAATTCAACTTTTTACCTGAAATTAACAAACTTTACTCTTACAATGCGTTGTTGTGGTGTGGTACCACGCTCTACTGCAGCTGCTGGTGTGTCGGGTGGTAAACCATGGTGGATTAATTTTAAGATGAGTGAAGGGAGAGTAGAGAGGCCCATGTAAACAACCAAAGTCGAATCAGGGTCAGCTGCATTTTCTGCTACAAAAAGAGGATCTGCTCCTCCTTTTCTTGAGTGTCCAGTTAAAAACCGGACACTGTTTGCTACTCCTCTGTGTGTCAATGGAACACCCAACTCTGCTGCGATTCCAGAGGCAGCAGTTATACCTACAAAAAAACAGTAAAAAATACACAATTACTGAAATGTCAAATATACCCTTCTGTTGGGACGTATTTTGGGTGCAATTTTGTCCCATTGAGAACGGACAAAAATGTCTAGTTTACCTGGAATAACTTTTACTTGAATGCCTTGTTGTTGGAGAAAATCCATTTCCTCTCCACCTCTTCCAAAGACCTAAGAAACCCAAAACCCGTTTCAAAAATTAGTAACCACCTTAATTGTCGTTAAGATATCTAAATGCTAATTTTATTTATGAAAATCTCACCAATGGATCTCCGCCTTTAAGCCTCACAACATTTGCCCCAACTTCAGCAAAGCTCAGAAGCAACTCGTGGATTTCCTCCTGCATGCATATCATAACCATGTGTTATTATTATACACAATTAGGAAACAATAATATGTGATTAAGCAACCTAAATTGTCAAGTTAGTGATGTTTAAACTATGAAATTGATAATAAGACAACTTATTTTGCATTAAGAGATTCATAATCGTATACAACTATAAAGGAGGTTCTACAACATAAATGGTTTGGAGCAATGAAGCTTAAAGGACTCAATATAAGTTTTGAATTTGATACAAGATTCAACTCCAATCCAGCAAATATCAAGATTATTACAATAACTGCAGGATAAGCAACGCAAATTTCACAATTCTTTCATGATTTCCATAAGCCCATAACAAAAATCTTAAGAAATCTAAATGAAATTTTAAAAACTGCGTGTGTTAATGAACAAAAAACTGCAGGTTAAGCAACCCAGAGCCCTAATTTCAAAAGCCTTTCAACATTCCCAAGCCACATTACAAAAAATGAAGTTAATTTAAATAAGAAATAAAAATTCTTGTCTTCATGAACGGAATCATAAGAAAATTTAAGAAATGACTAACCTGGGTTCTGCTATGGTACCCAGCAGTCTTGCCAACATAAAGAAGTCTAGCATCGGGGCGCACCAAATCCAGCACGTCATTTGACACCAATCTATCGTACAACAACAAATCGGCACTCTGAATCACCTTCAACGCCTTCAATGTCAACAGCTCTGGATCACCAGGACCTGTACCCACCAAGAACACATTCCCAGGTCCCCCTTTTCCACTCCCACCATCGCCACCTTTCTCTCTCTTCTCTCTCAAAAAATGAAGCAATTTCTTCAGTTCTGGGAGCTGAAGAGCAATTTCATAATCCCTAGTTGAGAAATTGGAATGATTTTCAGGTGGGTTTTGATCTAATTGATTCTTGAACACCCATTTGTCTCTTTGGTATCTCTCAACTGAATGTTTTTCAGTGAAAGGCGATGCGGAACATGACGTTCTTGTAAAATGTATGGAATTGGCGGGTTTCAGAGAGGGATTTAGGGGCTTTCTGAATTGGGTTAGTGAAGATGACGATGAAGATGAAGGAAGTTTGCTCACGAGAGCCATGGGAGTTTAGAGAAATGAAGACAAATGGCTATATCACACATTAATTCTACACATGTGTGTATAAGTAGTATGATCAGAAGAGAAATTGTGATTGAACTAGTGTGGTGGTGCTTGGAAGCTTTTGGGGAAAATGAGAAGGCAAAGACAAAGGCGATGGCAAGAAAGGGAGTAGCTTTTGGGGTTGCGAGAGAGGCGGCTGTTTTGGAGATTTTGACTAGGGAGATTTTAATACTGTGTAGTGGGTTCTACGGTAAGCGGTGTGTTCATCTTAAACAACGGTCTGGATCGGTTGAGATTTAAGCATTTAGCTTTTTGATGACACGCGGCATCAATCTGGGTCGGTAATCTATCACCGTATTTGGACGGAAAACAGGTAAGGGGAGAGAATGTAACCGGCCCAACTAAGCTAAGTAAGCTCGATCGGTTTAAATCCTGTTAAATTGTACATTAGTTATCTTATTTTTGTAAGCTTGGTAATTTTGTTTGGAAAAGTGATTGTTTTAAATTGTACATTAATTATCTTATTTTTTGTAAGTTTGGTAGTTTCTGTTTGGAGAAGGGTTGTCGGGAAAAGTTTTTTGATTGGAAAAAAAACCTATTTGTTTGATTTTACATCTGACTGACTATGTTGAATGATGAAAAATGACTATATTATCATGTTGTTCTATATTGTAATTGATGAAGTTGTCGAATAATTATAAAAACATAAAAATTGTCATATAAAATCAAAATTACACAATAATCATTTAAAAATCCAAATACAACTTGTCATACAAAGTAATTCAACACAAGTCAACTAAAATCCAAATAGAATGTCGATCGTTTTGTTTTTAGTTTATTGTTTTTCAAATTGATGTTACGTTGTTATTTTATAACCCAACATGTGATTATTGACCCGATTTATGTTTGATAGTGGTGGGATGGATAAGATTTTTTAAAATAAATTAGGATGATGGTGGTGTTATCAAAAAAAAATTAATCCAATAAAAATGATTGAAAAATAGTTAAAAGAAACTAATAATACAATAATGTAATATTCATTAACATATAAATATTATATATTATAAATAATATTTATTAATATATAATAACCTAGCAAAAAATTAATAATCCAATAAAAAAAATTAAAAATATATATATTTAAAAAAAAATCCAAGAAAGAAGGATACGAGGTTTGGGGCGTAATTGTCTTTCCAGCTCATTTAGCCAGAAAGATATGGTTTTGTGGCGTTCTGGGAAAAACATATGTTATTGGGAAATATCCATTTTTTATGCAAATCAAACAGTCTTTCCAGTCCATTCAGCCAGAAAGATCTATTTGGACCTGAAAAGATGTATATCAAACGGATCCTAACTATAGTCTTCAAACACAACCCCTAAAGCCCAACATACTTAGGCATGATTTTTAGTAAAACGGTAATGCTATATGGAGTGGGTGAGATGTTTTTACGCAGGTGAGATGGCCACATCAACCATTTTGTCAACTCCACTGGCTTTTTACAAGCATTAAGAAATGGTGTTTTAGTAGTAGAGAAGAAGTAAGGAAAGACATAGAAGAGAGAGATAGACACAAAGGGAGGAAGAAATAGATTTTGGATGAGAGTAAGTCTAGCTACGAAAGCTCATAATTAAGCAAGATGGGGGTGGTGTTTGTTAGATTCTAACGCGTGAGTTATAGGTGTCATGTCATCTCACATGTCAAAAAAAAATGACCACTTTGTATGGGTAGTGTTTGGTAGAAGGACTAGATTGGACTAGACGGAACAGAACTGGACAGAAATGGACTGGACTGAACAAAAAAGATTAATCTTTGTATTGTTTGGTAAGACTAGAAGAACATAAAATAAGATTCAAATTACTAAATTGTCCTTGAACCACAAATTATTTCTGATATATTTTTTGTTTTTTACTATATACCGATAGTTTTGTTATAAAAATTGGACAAAATTGCAAAAATGGTCCTTGTGGTATTCATTTTTTTGGGGGTTTTAGTCCAAATCACGAAATTTTTGGTTTCGTGGTCCTTTTGGACTAGTTTGTTTGTAAAAATAGTCCCTCTGAAAATTAAAATGACTATAATACTCTTGAGGTATTTATTTTTCATTTTTTCTTTCATTTTTTTAAAATTTAATATTTATTTATTTATTTTAACAATTAAAAAATAATAGGGGGCCCACTCTCTCTCTCTCTCTCTCTCTCTCTCTCTCTCTCTCTCTCTCTCTCTCTCTCTCT